AAAGATGAATGGGTCAGGGAGTGGCAGGAAAATTGGGCTACAACTGGATGTTTGATCCGCCAAAGATCTACAAGCCCCACTTCAACTATGTGTCGGGCAAAGAGGGTCATGGCCCTAGAACCTTGCGGACGATATTGTTCATATAAACCAAGCGATATATCCAATACGTTATTAAAATCACTAACCGCCGGAATTTGGGGATGGCATGCTATAAATTGAAATAGGCACTGCAGAACCACAGGATGAAAGGGAGGATGAATGTAAATATTAGCCATAATACAGACATATAAGTCCCAATTACACAGAAGAAAAATAAATCTGCCCTTGGGGTCGATCTTCGAGGAGTTCACCTTGAGAGAAGCATTTTGGGAAATCAAGATGCTCACCCCTCAGGAGTACTGCGTATGTGTAGAGTGAAATTGAAGTGGAAATATAGGACGTTGCAATAAGTGAATAGAGCTCTAAGTCAAATGAGTCTCCTGCAGGCATAGGATAGCAGGTTTTTGTTGACCAACCATAGTGAAAAGGACTGTCCTTTTCTTTGGGTCATGTAATCCTCTCACATTCCAGTAGAGGACCGTGTCTAAGTGCTTATTCATTTGTATAAATCAGAAATGAAAATGATCTTCGAATCAAGAACCACACCCAGGCAGGTTGGAGGGTATGTTGGAGGGGAACCCAAAGATCAGTAAACATAGAATAGGAGGGTCATACAGCAGTCCAGACAGGGCCTGTAGCGATGATTTGTATAGGAGGTAGAACAAGATGGACACTTGATGGCAGCAAAAAAAATACGAATAAAACCAAAACCTGAAACAGCACAAAAAAAATCAAGGCCCATTCCATGCCTCAGCTGGTTGGGCTCAAGAACTCCCCGCAGGGTTAAGAGGGGGGTAAAAACAAGGGCTATCACCAACAGTGTCAGACAATCAACCATGTAAGCTTCCATAATGACAACGAGAGGCTGTCAGGACTTTATTTTCGAGCTCCATTTTAGGCAAGATAAGAAAATATATTCAAGCAGATTTATTGGTACCAATCAATGATGTAATCAGGTGGGTTCTGGATGAAGGCTCTGCTCATTGCGATCTAACCAGTTGGATGCCGTAGTAGGTGAATCAAAAAATTGAACCGTTCTTTTCCCAACCACATGCAGTTTTGCAGGGTATAACATAAGAGTATGCCACTGAGATGGAGTGTAGTCGTCTTTCAACATCCGTGAATTTAGCCCGCTTCCTCTGTACCTCAGCTGAGAAATCAGGGAATATGGACACTTTGGAGCCCTGGATTTCCATATTTGTTTTCTGCCTAGCTAGGTGTAGGATAATATCTCTTTCTTTGTAGTGAAGTAGCTTCAACAAGAAGGCTCGACCAGGGCCCCCCCGGTGATGGAGCTGGGGGGGGGAAACCCTATGTGCTCTTTCCACAGAGAAAAAGGGCGTCAGATTATCTTTTCCAAAGGTATCAGAAAGCCAAGTCTCAATAAAATCGACAGGGCACTTACTGTATTTTCCATATCCTCCACTCTCTCTGCATGTTCAGATGATTTAGCTGAAATGGCGTGAATTGTTTGCTCCAGGTGGATCAGCTCATCCTCCACATTGCTCACCCTACCCTCAAGCTCAGCAGCTCTTTCCTTAATCTTCTTCATGTCTTGTCTGATGTGAAGTACATCCTCCTTCATGCCCTTAAATTCTAGTATTAGTTGAGTGAGTGAGGAGCTATAGGTATGAACCGCTGTAAGGATTTCTTTCAGCATGGGTTGTGGACGGTATGTCTCTGTGTTCTCAGTGGGTGAGGAAGGCCGCAATGCACTCACCGTATCCCGAGCAGAGGGAGGCATCGGAAGTGCCAGAGCTGGCTGGTCCGCTCCGGAGGGACTCAGTGGAGAAGAGGACGAGGGCTCCAGAGGTGAGTGTACCTTATGCGGTGTGTGTGTAGTTCCCCAGCTTTGCAGCTGCATCTTCTTGACGGTCTTTCGCAGCACTCTGTGGGAGCGGGGCTCCGCCATGTTGAGTAGGCCTCACAGAAGAGGCGCCTTCTTCCTGGTCATAGTCACAGGGCTCCGGAGCAACGGAAAAGAAGGCAGGGTGGGTTACTACACAGCTGTATCAGTGTTTCTTAGCAGTGCTGCCGATTTCTGAGTCTCACTGCGGGATCATAAGCAGGATTCTATTGGAGCTCTGGAACAGTCTTTTTGCTCACATGGACGGCCGAGCCACGCCCCCGGCTCCTTGTTTAATTGACTTTTGTTAAACAGGGTGGAGCCAACAGGGGCACCACAGCTTCAGCAGGAACTGGTCACACTTTTTACTTTTTTTTTCAACTTTATTGACCTGTCACAGAATGATACTTTATGCAGCTTACTTGTTGCATTGTGGTGTATTACGATGCAATACCCTGCTCTGAAAATATTTAGAGAATTTTCTATTTTTTTTTCAGGTGCACTGATACTGATCTGAACTCGTAGAACTCATTGTCTTGATGTCTGTGCTTGGGATTAGAAACAATTGAGTACTGTCCATGATACTTTTTTATTTGAACTAACATACAATTTTGTCTATGCTTGAAATCATGTTGGGCAAGGCTGCCCGGTGCTGCTCTAATCATATGGTATAATTGGGATTTTAACCTTTCTGCATTGTATCCAAAACTTAGAAAAAATGTTTAATCAAACAGTTGGGCTTTATATATTCATCATTCTACTGTCTGCCATTTGGTTTAGAAGAGCAAGATGGCACATGATTAATGAGGTTCTAAGGCTGAACCTGTCATCCGTAGTACAAAGAATTAAGCACATCTCTCCACTGCAAATGAGTATTTCCAGAAGTTTATAGAATATATAATTAACACATCTTAAAAGACAGGAAACTATAGTTATACTGTGCACTGGCCTTCTCATTTATCTTGGCAAGGGATGGGTTAAAATTATTCCTGTGTTCCATGTGATTATTCATATTGGGTGTGGAGCAAGTGTGAACCTGTCAGTCTGGTGAGAAAGTGAGGCAAAGTCTGAATCTCACTTTTGTAAAGCTGTCAGGCAGATTATAGAGTAGCTCAATTTAATTTCCCAGCCAGCTGATTTGCTTTCTTGCCATATGAGGCTAATGTTTATACTCTGCTCAGTGCTGGACTCTGCCTGTGTATTGCGTGTACTGCCATCTGTGTGTGCCTTGGTGTAGCTTGTTATCTCTTGTAGACATGCCATGAAAGCAACCACTGGACTGTATGTCAACTTCTGCACAACATTGAGTTGTCAGTATTTGGTATAGTGTAGTCAGATTGCTTGCTGCAGTTGTTAAGGTAAATCATAGAATCTGAATGATACCTACCTATGCATACCTCCCAACTGTCCCTGATTTGGAGGGACTGTCCCTCTTTTGGAACCAAATCCCTCTGTCCCACTTTCCTTCTCAGTTGCCCCCTTTTGTACAGATGTGTAGACTTCTATGCAATACTTAACAATCAAGTGGTAGGGATAGGGGTCCAGGGAATAGGTAGGAGGGAATGGTAAAACCCAATTTGGGAGAACAAAAAAAGGGAGACAAGGATATGTCGGAGTGGGTGGGGCCGCCAAGGAAACGGAAGGCAAGTAGAAGGCTATGCCAGACAGGAGAGGTTTGTGGAGCAATCTTTTTTTCTTCTGGAGGTAGTATCCCCAATAGTATCACCTTTCAGGAAAAATGTAGATGATGCTTAATATGTGTGTTTATCAACAATATTATTCTTTGATTTTTGCTGTCACCTTTCTTAACTGTTAGGAATGTATATAAAAAAAAAATATTATTTATACCGTGTTTATTTTTTTGATTGTTTTTTCTTCAGACAGAATCACATCTTTGACTTAGTCAGAAGCATTTTTTTTTAACAAAGTACAGTTTTCCAATCACTAGGGAAGAATTTAACTAAAGAAACCAATAACCAATGGCAAAATTGTATTAGATTTTAATCACCTTTGATACAAGTTAGTGTTACTGAACCCACAACAAATAGAATCAGTCAGTAAATGCAGTAAAGCTTGCTTGTTATACTCACTGTGGAACCTAAGGGGTTAATACTCTGCATTCTGCAAAAAGGCTGTTTTATCCTGTCTTCTCTAATTCTCCCCTACTTTCACAGTCCCCAATACATCCACTGATTAGGAGTCACTGTGCACATGCTCAGTTTGGTGTGTATTCTAGGCAGCGGGTTTTTTTTTTTTGTTTTTTTTAGGAGGGTGCATGTGATCGTCACAGAGCCATTCAGCACTGTCCAGACAGAGGGTCAATGGTCATGTAGCCTCATAGAACAGTCAGAGGAGAATGAAAACTCCTCCTACAAGCTTTAACTAGTGCTCGGCCTGACACTGATAGAAGTCACAAGACTGCTATATACCACTGATGAGAAAAGGTATTTTTTAAGTTCATATTAAAATAAATTATAAATACAACTTTTAAGTTTATATTTACTACCCCCCTTAGCCACTAGCCTACAGGGCACTTATACCCCCTTCCTGCCCAGGCCAATTTCCAGCTTTCAGCGCTGTCGCACTTTGAATGACAATTGCGCGGTCATGCAACACTGTACCCATATGAAATTTATATCATTTTTTGTGTGACAGATAGCGCTTTATTTTGATGGTATTTAATCACCTCTGGGTTTTTTATTTTTTCTTAAACAAACCAAAAACCATTGAAAAGTTTGAAAAAAAATGTTTTTTCTTAGTTTTTGTTATAAAATTTTGTAAATAAGTGATTATTCTCCTTCACTGATGTGCGCTAATAAGGGTGCACTGATGGGCACTTATAGGCTGCACTGATGGACACTTATAGGTGGCACTGATGAGGAGGCACTGGTAGGTGGCACTGATGTATATTGACAGGCATCACTGATTGGCACTGAAAGGCAGCACTGATACATGGCACTGATATATGGCACTGATAGGCAGAACTGATAGGCGGCACTGACTGTCACTGATAGGCGGCACTGACTGGCACTGATAGGTGGCACTGATTGGCAGCACTGATAGGTGGCACTGATTGGCATTGATAGGTGGCACTGACTGGCACTGATGGGTAACACTGAAAGGCAGCTAAGATGGGCACTGATATGTGGCATTGATGTGCACTGGTGTGCACTGATATGTGGCACTGATGTGGCACTGATGGGCACTGGAACGAGGCACTGATGAGTACTGACATAAGGCACTGAAGGACACTGACAGGTGGCACTGCTGGGGCTACACTGATCATCAGGGCACACTGATCATCAGTGCCCTGATGATCAGTGTACATGTCCCCTCCGCGGAAAGCCGATTACCGGCTCTCCTCTCGAGCTCTCAGCTCGAGAGGAGAGAAATGCTGATAACCGGCATTTCCCTGTTTACATGTGATCAGCTGTGATTGGACACAGCTGATCACATGACCGAGCCGACATCTTCGGCTCTTTCCGTGATCGGTGATTCGCTGTGTCCGAGGGACACAGCGCACTGCGATCGCCGCGCTGCGCGCTCCCTGAGCCACGCATGCGCAGTGAGAATGGGAGGACGTCATATGACGTCCTCCCAGAACGAGAGAACCACCTTGCGCCCGTCATATTACTATATGGCGGGTGGGGGGTGGTTAAAGAGGTAGTAAATCCAAAAGCAAACATTTATTATAACCAATTTCTAGATGTGATGGCTGCATTCTTTTTTTTCGCCTCCATTCACACTAGTGTGATTTCAGATGGGACAGAATTGCATGACAATGGAAATCACAGTATTTATAATGTTGTACATTCACATCAATGCAATAGGATAGTGATGCAATTTTGAAAAGGTCTGTGCACTGTTTTGGTGCAACTGCAACATAATTTTTGCTCCACAGACTTCAGTGGCTTAGCATCAGATGCACATATACATTTACATATGTTTTTGACACTGCTGTTTTGACTTATCCCTGCTGTCAGCCAGCAGGGATGAGTTATTTGTTGTTTAAGGAGCTTACACTTGCCGGCTTCCTAACAACCAGTGACTCATCTCTTCTCTGACAGCAAGGATGAGTTATTTGTTGTTAAGAAACCGGCACTTGCCAGCATCTTAACAACCAGTGACTCATCTCTGCTGTCAGCAGGTGGAGACATAAGAGATGAAATTAAAAAAAAATAGCATGCAGGTCCCCCCAATCCTTACCAGGAGTTTAGGGGAGACCTCAAACCTCCCCCTCCTGATACATACCAGGCCACATGCCCTCAACACAGAGGGGATACTTTGAACACAAGACAGTTTTTGACATATTCTCAATTAAAAATAAAATCCAACCCCCGTTGTACATCTATTGTCAATTACAGTGGGGAACATATTTGTTTGATCCCCTGCAGAATTTGTAATTTTGCTCACTTACAAAGAAATGAAGGGTCTATAATTTTTTCATAGGAGTAGCTGAAATGATAGAGACAGAATATCAACCAAAGATCCAGAAAAAATACGATACAAATGTTATAAATTGAGTTGCAGTTCAGTGAGTAAAATAAGTATTTGATCCCCAAGCAAAACATGACATAGTACTTGGTGGCGAAACCCTTGTTGGCAAGGGTAAGACGTTTCTTGTACTTGGTTACTAGGTTTGCACACATCTCAGCAGGGATTTTGGTCCACTCTTCTTTTCAGATCTTCTCTAAATGCTTAAGGTTTCTTGGCTCTTTCTAGGCAACTCGAAGTTTCAGCTCCCTCCATAAATTTTCTATAGGATTAAGGTCTGGAGATTGGTTAGGCCACTCCATGACCTTAATATGCTTCATCTTGAGCCACTCCTTTGTTGCTTTGGAGGTATGTTTTGGGTCATTGTCATGCTGGAAGACCCATCTGCAACCCATCTTCAGTGTTCTGGCTGAGGGAAGAAGGTTCTCATCCAAGATTTTACAATACATGGCCCCTCAGTGTGGCAAAGTGGGTGTCAGTCGCCCACTAACTGGATTCGAATTGATGTGTCACAAGGGAGAACTGGTCTGCTGTTCACTCTCCCTTCTCTACGCTATACTAATGCACCTGGCGAGGATTACCTCCTTTTCTCACAAAATGGGAATTGGAGCTTGGTATGAGTTTCACTCCCAGTCAGAGGAATAAAATCCCCCACTTTGCCCAAAAGTCCTCTATAGCCTCAAGGGTTCAAGAATCTAGCTACAAGAGCCATACCAGATGGTACAGGGTTCTCTCCCTACTCCACTGTATCTCTCCTCAGATCCCAGACACCTGCTGGCATTGTGCTGAAGGTGGGACCATGCTTCATAATTTCTGGTCGTGTCCAGGAATCCAGTCAGTGATGTGACCTCAGTTATCAACCAGCTTACTGCGGTGGATCTGCATGACAACCTGGCAGCCTGCCTATTGCACTTGACGGAGAGACCTATCAAAAAGTACAAATCCTCCATGACAATCCAGCTACTTAATGCAGCTATGGTGTATATTACGCTCTGCTGGAGGAGCACTATCCCCCCCCCCCCCCGAAGGCTCTTTGGTTTACTAGAGTTTATATTCTCTGGGATATGGAGGAACTTACAGCCACCCTGCACAATACAGAAGAGTCCTACACCGAAACATGGGCCGTGGAACTATTTTGTGTATACTGGCTCATACCTAAACAAACTGCCAGCTGTTGGTGAGTTGGTCTTGATGTATCCTGGGCCTGGAGAGGGACGACCCTGCTTTCCTCCTCTCTCTTCCTATTCTCTTTTTCCTTCTCTCTTCCCCTGCTTTCTCTCTCTCACCCCCCCTGCCTTTACCTCCTCCCTTCCCCATTTGGGATTTTCCAACTACCGGCCTATGAGCCATGTTTTTATTTTAGCAGTGTTCCTAGAGTCACTGATGTATATAAGCTACGGAGGAACACCATATCCTGGTTCCCCCAGTTAGTCTTTATAGTTGGGTGCCCATGTGATATGTTCTGGAACCTGGGGTTCTGTTTCATGGAAACCTAACGACTCATTTGGTGATTTTCCACTGCTTATCTGTTACCTCTACAGTCTTGCCTAACTCACATGTGAGTCTATGACCTGAAAACCCATTTGTCAAAGATCATTTGTTTGTACTTCATTTGATTTATGAAAATAAAGAAATAAAAAAACTACTACATCTAGTATTTTGTATGACCTCCATGATTTGTACGGACAGCACCAAGTCTTCTAGGCATGGAATGAACAAGTTGGTAACATATTGCAACATCTATCTTTTTCCATTCTTCAAGAACGACCTCTTTTGCAGCCTGTATTCTGGATGGAGAGTGATGCTCAACTTGTCTCTTCAGAATTCCCCATAGGTGTTCGATTGGGTTCAGATCAGGAGACATACTTGGCCACTGAATCACTTTCCCCCTGTTCTTCTTCAGAAATGCAACAGTGGCCTTAGATGTGTGTTTTGGATCATTGTCATTTTGTGAAAGGGTACGACGACCAAGGGCACGGAGTGATGGTTGCATCTTCTCTTTCAATATAGAGCAGTACATCTGTGAATTCATGATACCATCAATGAAATGCAGTTTCCCGACACCAGCAGCATTGATGCAGCTCATCAGAAGGACACTGCCACCACCATGTTTCACTGTAGGCACTTGCATTTTTCTTTGCGATATCACCTTTTTGACATCATACAGTTTTGAAGGCATCAGATCCAAAAACATTTATCTTGGTCTCATCACTCAAGAGTACAGAGTCCCAGTAGTCTTCTTCTTTTTCAGCATGGGCCCTGGCAAATTCTAGATGGGCTTTTTTGTGCATGGGCTTTAGGAGAAGCTTCCTTCGTGAACGACACCCATGCATGACATTCCCCTGCAGTATATGCCGTATTGTGTCACAGGAAACAATCATCCAGTTTGGCTTTCTATTTTTTCAGCTAACTGCAGTGAACTTGCATCGTGATTTTCTTTTTAGAAGATGTTGAGGTATTACCTTCTCTGGATGGCCTGGATGTCTATGTGAGATGGTTGCAGTTCCATCTTTGTTAAATTTATGTATCACTACAGTATTCTGACTGATAAGTAAAGCTTTGCAGATTTCCTTGTAGCCTTCACCTTTCTTGTGTACAAAAAATTTTTTCTTTCTCAGGCCTTGTGACATTTCTCTTCTGTGGTGCCATTGCTGACAACATGACATGTGAAGGGGTTTTCTTTGTTAACTAATGCCCTTTTATAATCAGCTGTCTGCTGGACACCTGTTTAATGAGCAATTAGACTCACTTGCAGTTGAATTCTTGTTATTTAGGATTTTGTTGTCAAAAATTTAGCTTTGCTCCTAAGATTTTCATGGGGTGTATTTATTTTTGCAACATGGTCTTGAATTAATTTTTTAGGAAAAATACTTTTTTGTTTGTGCAAACTAACAAATGGCCCACATTTTGTGGGAGTATTTTGTAGTATAGTGTCCCTTAAAGAATGTTGATTCTGAAAGGAAAGTATCTGTTGGGTTATACTCATTTATTCTCTCTCTCTCTCTCCCTCTCTCTCTCCCTCTCCCCCCCCCCTCTCTCCCTCTCTCTCTCCCTCCCTCCCTCTCTCTCTCTCCCTCTCTCTCCCACTCCCTCTCTACCTTTCCTCTCCCACTCCCTCTCTTTCCCTCTCCCTCTCTCCCTCTCTCCCTCTCTCCCTCTCCCCATACATACAAAGACACCAAAACAAATAAGTTCAGAAGTTAAGTTATGGGTAATAAAATGGAATGACACAGGGAAAAGTATTAAACACATGAAGAAAGGGAGGTGGAAAAAAGGCATGAAAAGACAAAACACCAGCTGAAATCTATCAGTGATTAGAAAGCAATCCTGACCCTTGTCAGTGCTAAGTAATATCAGCTGGCTAAGTCTCAACTGATGGCCTATAAAAAGGTAGCTCATTACCAAGATGTCACACAAGAAACATCTCATGATGGGTAAAAACAAAGACCTCTCTCAAGATCTTTGCAACCTTATTGTTGCAAAGCATATTGATGGCATTGGTTACAGAAGGATTTCTAAACTTCTGAATGATCCATTGAGCACTGTTGGGGCCATAATCTGAAAATGGAAAGAACATAATTTCACCATACACTGGTCACGACCAGGTGCTCCTCGCAAGATTTTTGACAAGAGGCGTGAAAGGAATTATCAGAAGAGTTGTCCAAGAGCTTGTGGAGATCTTCAGAAAGACCTGGAATTAGCAGGTACAATTGTTTAAAAGAAAACAATAGGTAACACACTCAACCGCCATGGCCTGTATGCACTCTCACAATGCAAGACTCCAAGGCTAAAGAAAAAGCATGTTGATGTTCATTTAAAGCTTGCTGCACAACATTTAGACAGGCCTGTGAAAACACCATGTTTGGAGGTCAAATGGCACTGCACATCACCCCAAAAACATCATACCAACAGTAAAGTTCGGAGGTGGGAACATCATGGTGTGGGGCTGTTTTTCA